AACTCGCATGTAGCAAAGGATTCCCATGTGAGAAAGTAGAGGTGGGCGACATCAATTTAGAATATCACGGAACCAATGGCACTGCCATCTCCGAATGCAGCAACGTCAAGCCTACGCTCTCAGGCAAACAATCTCCTGCTGTTTGTGATGGTGCTGGTGGTGGTGCTGCCGCTGCTCCTGCCGGAGCTGCTGCTGCTTAAGCCTTTCAAACACTATAATCTTCCGAATTGAATATGTATAATTAGTACATAGTCTTATCCATATAAAAAAACAATTTAGCTAGGATGTTTAGTATGGTCTTAGGCTCTTAGCTCAAGCATGCACAAGAAAAGAGCCAATCAACTTCCAATTTGTTTATTAGTTATTACCCCTTCTATGCCATCTTTAATTTGTATGCATGCATGGTTAGAATAATCATCTTGTTTATTAGTTATTACCCCTTCTATGGGTGGTGAAGTATTATAATAATGAATGGTTAGAATAATCATCTTGATTATATATCATAATTTGTTTATTTATCCAGCACAGAATTGAAAGTAGTCTCCAATTGTATCATCCCAAGTTTTTTTAACAATCAAACAGTCCATTTAGATTCTTAATTACCATTATATTGCAACTCTCTCCGACAAAATGTTGTCTCGCCTTAAATAAATTAGCTAGCTTTAATAAAAGTAACTACATTTATTCAGTCCATCTACTTTTTAAATTTTATGTTTGGAAAAATTTATATTATTACTTGGAGAATTATGTGAGGCTGGATCACTCATATAAACATATACTCTTTCAATTGTGGGAGCATGGATGTATGGAAACATATAAAATTCTAGTATGAACAATTTCAATGTCAATAAAATTCTCTCTTTTTATTCAATGTTATTTACTCCTGGCCTCCGTTCCTATCACGTCATATTTATTCAATATTAATTGATCAATCATATCATATCTATTCATTATTGATTTACGCATTACAGTATATCTATTTACTCATTACATCATATTTTACCCTACAATACACTAATGACAAAATTAAAAAATAACACCAAGATTACATTCTTTAAATCACATCCAGATAAGATTTAAATAATTTAATTTTGGTGTTATTTTTAAAATGAAAAAAGTTTATGGGACAGAGGTAGTAGCATTATTTGAACCTGTGTCAATATGTGAATTTGATGTTTTTTATTCTGCAATAATTCTTCTTCACTATAATTTTATTAAATGATTGAATAAAATTCATATTCGATACAATTTAAATCCATATTTTTTGAAAGATTTCAGGGTATGTAATATTTTAATAGAGTTGCAAGTAGACAAGTGCAAATTAAAATCGTATCCAGGCCGGATCTAACCCAAGCCCGAGGTTATGTTTTTGCCCAGATATCTAAGCAAAACTAATATTCGCCACTGACCCCAGCGAGCGTGCCTAACAGCCGTCGTCCTTTATCCTTCTCTTTATCTCCAAAAATTTATGAGCATGTCTAACAGACGTCGTCCTTTATCCATCTCTCTCTGTAAAAAAATCGTGTGCGTGATCGAAAAATTTAAAAGTTACATTTGTTTGTGTTTTGTCTAGAATTCGAGAGCATAGAAGACGATAGAGAAGCAGAGAATGGATCACAAGGAGAAAAGAAAAATAAACTACAGGCCCTTGCTCCGACCGCGCACCAACACTCTCCCTTGAAAAGAACTTGTCAAATATACTCTCAAGCTTGTTCGTTATAGAATGAAGATCAAAGATCTCAGCTCCCTCTCTACTTCTAGTGTTTATTCTCACAAAACCGCTTCCGCTGGTTCTATTCCAATACATATGCTCCAAGCTATTCTTCATTATCGATGATAAGGTGATTGAGCATATTAGCAATAAAAAGGATAATAGGAAATAAGATATTATTCTTTATTTCTTTTCTTATTCTCTATTGCATTTCCTACATATAAGGATAAAACCTTCACTATTCAATTAGACCATTATTATCAAATTGTGTCAAATAGGTTTGGATAAATGGATGTTGAACTTAAGTTAAGGCTCTATTCTTTTCATTTGGAAAAATAGGGTTGTGTATTCAAAGAAATTGGAAGGGATTGGAAGAAACTAGAAAGAGTTGAAGAAACTAAAAGGAGTTAATTTGAAGAAATTGGAAGGAGTTGGAAGAAGCATAATAAAAAGCTTCAATTCATTCCCGTAAAAACATTCAGTATTTTTTCGTATGTCTCAAAGTTTTTTGTTACTTTTCTATTTTTTTACTTTTCTATTTTTTTTATTTTATAAAACTCAAATAGAGAATTTTTATACAACAAAGTTAGTTTTAAATATACATCCAGCATATGCACATTTAAAAATAAACAATATGAGTTTTACAAAAATTTTCTTCATGTATTAAATTGATATATGAACATTTATTTTTTTCATATGCTTACAACATGTACATTATAAAAATTACTGTATTAGTGTATGCACATTTAAAAGTCATGTAATGCATAATTAAAAAAAATAAATTACACAATTATTTTGGTCAAAATTTTAAAACATTGACAAGAACACATTTCAAAAAAGTATAGTTAACGAAAATTCAAAATCACAAGGGAAATTATAAATTAATTATTTTAAGATTTTAATAATGTACGTGACTCGATAATGGTAACTAAAATTTGTATCCAAGACACAACTTTTTAATAAATTGTGACATTAAATAAATTTTTTATTTTATTAAGATAATAATAATAATAATATATGAAAATAAACCTAAATAATTCTTTTAAGTCATTGTTGGAAGATGATGGGAAATATTATCTGGCTCGGAAATCCCGATCCGTATTTCTCAATTAATATTATCATAATTACCATCGTCAATTACTTCTCACAAATTATTCCATCTTCACCCTAGTCAACTTCCTACCATAGCCACCTCCACCACTTACTCCTCTCCTAAAATACCTCCACTATAATATCCTTTCCATAACTACTCTCTCCATCTCTAACTATAACAAGGACCCTTCACCTTATATATGAAGGATGCCAAAATCACGCTCCTATTAGAATACACTCTCTATCCCTTAAAAATACTCATTATATATATTATTTCTTCTTCCTAGAGCGTAAACACTTCATCAATGGTTACAATGCCAAGATTATGTACTATGTACAATCTCCGATAATAATAAAATCTCTCCGTTGGCATGGTACCACTGAAAAAAGGTTGTAGTTTTCTCCCGATTTGAGTTTCCACGTCAAAAATAGTTTGTTCGTATTTTTGGTGATTGTTAGGCTCGCTTTTCATTTTACACGATAAAAATAATAAAACCGATCAAAACAATTAAGACCATCAGAAGAAGTTAGAAAAAACTGAAAGTAGTTGGAAAAAACTGGAAAGAGTTGGAAGAAACTAGAAGGATTGAGATGAAATTGGAAGAAGTTGGAAGAAACTGGAAAAAGTTGAAGAAAATAAAAAGAATTGAAAAAATCAGGAGTAAGAAAATGTTGAAAGTTAGGACAGAGCCTAAGTATCAAGAATGCAAGGGAAGTAATGAATTCCTTATCACTCCTAAAATTTCGTTTCGGTAAAATAATGCTGAAATTTGAGACAATTTTAATCATATTCCATATCTATGAGACTACTTTTAACATTGTATTCTCTTCCTTTGAAAAACAGTTCCAACCTAATATTTTATGTATCCCATAAAGCATTTTTATCCCACATAAAATGACTAAAATACCTCTCAAAACAGTTTATACCCGCAATAAGAAGAAATGAGGTGTAGTCGTGAGTATTTTAGTAGGGATAGAATTATTTTATGAGATGTGTAAGATAGAACTATTTTTCGAAATGGAGAGAGTAAATTTTTCATTATTAAAATGTTATCACTTTAATTTTCTCTTTGTTAAAATTTGTACTATAGAGATATTGTAAATAGTCACTTAGACTGTTATTTGAAATCTCTTATACTCTCTCCGTCCCAAAAAGATTTACATGTTTCAAAAAAATTGTGTCCCACAATCCCTTACGCATTTCTATTAAAAAACTACTTTTACCCCTTACTTTTTCTAACCCTACCTATCACATCATACCTTTTTCCTAATAATCTACACATCACATCCTACTTTTACTCATCACATCAGGAGTATTTTTGGAAAGTCAACACAAAATTATCCCTCTTTTAATTTCAACTTTAGTCAAAATGGGTAACACTTTATGGGACAGAGGGAGTATGTATTTATAGATAGTAAATTATTCCAAAATGCATGGTAGTGTCAAAATTATAGCTCACAATTCCATAATTCAGGTTTGATTAATATTGATCTTTAGAATAAGTATTAATTTTAAATATCACTCTTTATGAGAATATATTTAAATATACATTTACTATTATTACAATTTTATTTTATCAATTTGATCTGCATTTTGTTAATATTTGACTCTTAGAATACAGTAGTTTGGAGCTAAGAGTCGCATACAATATTTTCAAAAAGTGGCAAATTATTGCATGGACCTAAGGTCTATGGTGAACCTTCGCATATGTTAAATAAGTTGTTATAACAGAAGGGAGAAAGTATGATAAAAAACAATGGATAATTACGGAAAAAACAGAGATTTAACATGGTTTACTAACAGCCTGTTAGTAACTTCCATGGATAGAAGAGAAAAACTTTATTGATCAATACTTTCTCACCATGTTACAGATTCTCTCCACCATGAATTGAGGAGTACAAATACATTCTATATTTTACACATTCTAGTTTGTCACAAATTATTTAAACTGCATGTTGTGACAAAATCCATGACCAATTTGTTTTTTATGTACTCGAAAAGGATTGATTTAGCAAACTAGAACGAGCATCAATTCAAGAGAAAATACAATTTTGAAAAAATAAAGAGCATACCTCGAACACTTGGAAGATACAGAGGAATAATTGCCTTCAATTGAGCATATCATTTGTGGTTGCAAACCTTCTTCTCCCCTTATAAATACTCATTCTCATTTTGTTACAATCCATCAATGTCTTTAACAAGACAGTGAAATAAACTATTTCAAAAGAAAATAAATAAAAAAAAATAAAGGAAGGAAAAATAATATAAAAAATGGCTTCTAGGGAGATTCAAGCTGCCTGGATTTTTATATGCATTGCTTTTGTTGTCGCAAGAGTGGATTGTGCTGAATTTAATGTGAAAACATATGGAGTCAAAGGTGACGGTACATCCGATGATAGTCAGGTACACTATAAAGAAACCAAATGTTGCACTTCGTATATATATAAATAGAAAGCATATACAAAAAATAATAGCTTAGGATGGTGGCATTAAAAAGATTCTTTTGGATAGGCAATTCTTAAAGCATGGGGAGAAGCATGCAAGGCAACAACCCCGAGCAAGCTCATAATTCCTGCCGGAAAGTACATGGTGGGTCCAATGAAACTATTGGGTCCATGCAGCAATACTGTAACTTTTGAAGGAGATGGTGCAACTTTTATCGCACCAACTGATCTCTCACTTTTTAAAGGACAAGATGGATGGATTCTTTTCTACGGCATAGAAGGTCTCACCATCACTGGAATTACTCTTGAAGGCAAGGGAGAAATCGGTTGGAAGACTAACAATTGCAAAAAAAGTTTCAGTGGAAATTGCAAATTCCTCCCCATTGTAAGTTGTATTACCTTTATTATGAATATCATTATATTTAATTTACTCGATCAATATGTTTACAATTTTTAAATACATGTTTATATGTTTTGCAGAACTTGAATTTGGGAGGATTGACAAATGCAGTAGTGAAAGGAGTGACATCGATAGATAGCAAGTTCTTCCACATGAATGTGATCCAGGGAAAGAACGTGACCTTGAGCGACATAACCATCACAGCCCCAGGAGACAGTGAAAACACCGATGGCATCCATATTGGTCGTTCCACAGGAGTATCCATTCTCGGTGCAACCATAAAGACTGGGGATGATTGCGTGTCTCTCGGGGATGGAAGTAAGCAGGTTAACATTGAAAATGTGAAGTGCGGGCCGGGCCATGGCATTAGCATTGGAAGCTTAGGAAAATACAAAGACGAACAACCGGTTGAAGGAGTGACTGTGAAGCACTGCACCCTCACCGGCACCACAAACGGTGTGAGAATAAAGACATGGCCAGCATCTCCAGAGGGTATTGCCTCTAGCATGCACTTCGAAGATGTCACGATGGAGAATGTTAGCAACCCAATATTGATCGATCAAGAATATTGCCCATGGAATCAATGCACGGNGGCTGTCAAACTTGCTTGTAGCAAAGGAGTCCCATGCGAGAAAGTAGAGGTGGGCGATATCAATTTAGAATATCACGGAACCAATGGCACTGCCATCTCTGAATGCAGCAACATCAAGCCTACGCTCTCTGGAAAACAATCTCCTGCTGTTTGTGATGGTGCTGGTGGTGGTGGTGCTGCTGCTCCTGCTAAAGCTGCTGCTGCTTAAGTTTTCAAACACTATAATCTTCTAGGTTAAATATATATTATGAGTGCATACTCTTATATAGGGTAATGTTTAGTGTGGTCTTAAGCATTTAGCTCATGCATGCACAAGCATAGAGCCAACCACCAATTTGTTTATTACTCCGTAGTTATTATATACCCCTTCTATGCCGTCTTCAATTTGTATGCATGGTTGCGTGGTGAAGGAATACAATAAAAAATTGTTACCACAATTATTTTATTAAAAAATATTTGTGTTCATCCCTCCGTCTATTGCTCCGTAATTTTCATCTTTATCATAATCATTTTATTGTTATTATTATTACTTTTGAAATTAATTAGTAGTTTTACTACTCTAACTTAAAGAAAACACTAATGGCCCAACCAAAAAAAATTGTATGCCCCCATTAACCTTTCCCAATGTCTACTTCCGTAAAAAGACTAATATATTTTAAATCTTTAATTGAAATTTAGTTTTGATAATCTCTTTATGTATAATTTATAAATTTAGAAGTGTATACTCAGAGATCTACTCTTCTGTCTCAAATTCATTTACACTGTTCGAATAATGCAATGTTTAAATATTATATTAAAAAAAAGATTTTATCAATAGATTTGTATAAAAATAAAAACTACAAGTTACATTTAAAAACTCCCAAAAGTTCTATAAACAAAAAAGTGCTTATACAAATTTGAAGGAAACAATTGGGGAGAAATGACTGACAAACTAAAGAAAGTCCAACCGGGGAAGCAAAGGAGGAAGCTATGTTCCATACTAGCAGCAACGGCATATCATGTTTGGCAAGCCCGAAATCAAAAAGTGCATTAGGATTCACTTATACCAATTGAAGTTGTTACCGAGGGGGTCATCTATCATGTTGGAACATATATGAGAGCCAAGGGAGTAGCAGGATAATGGCTCTCTATGAGCAAAAGTAGTTGATTGATTGTTGTAGTAGTATTGGGTTATTGGCTTTCTGTTTTGTATACTGGACTTGGGGGATTTTAATATATTTGCATTTCGGTTCAAAAAAAAAATGTCAAGTTTTATTTTATTATTGTACAATGGTGATAGTTTAAAGTGAATGAAAAAGAAAAAGTTAGAAAGTATCACATAGTAGAAGTTAAGGGTGCATGCATTTTGATGGGGTTATTTTTCTAGAAATTATTCTCTAGGGAAAAATAATTTCCACGTACGAAACATTATTTTCCTCCCACATTTTTCATTTTTTGGTATGAATAATTTTTTCCTCAAAAAACTTTTCTGTTATTTGTTAGGAAGGAACTTTCCAAAAAATAAATTTTTCATTACATTGTTGATAGTTAATTAAATAAAAAACAAATGTGCATATTTAGAGACAATTTTAAAATATTTTAAACAATTTTAGAGACAATTTTATTGGAATATTCACTAACCAAACGTAGGAAATTAGATTTAGATTTTTTGGAAAATTGTTTTTCTCTCAACCAAACAAACTCTAAAAGTTAGAATCCAAAAGAACAATGTTTTAAAGAAATTGCCGAATGATACAAAATTTCATTCTACTCGGGGCCAAGGCCTTGCAAATTTTATTTCGGGTACCTTCCAAAAGGTTACATTTTAATGAGTTAGTTTGAACCTATATAATTTGGTTCCATCTCTATTTTCTTGAATAGCACTAAAATATAGTGAATTTTCCTATATCGCACCACAAGTTTTAATTTCCACAACTAGTACTAATTAATTAATTATTACTTCTAGTGTACTAAAATTTCCTTTATGTAACTGTATATTTATTGACCCATCACGTCCTACTGTCCTTCACCTGCCACCGATCACAAAATATCGATGTCAGTGCATGTCCTGTCGCCACTCCGTTAATATTGATTATGCATGATTTAATAATGACTTATGTGGCTTCACTCTAATAATGTCCAATATCATTTTAAATGTCTACATGTCCATTGTCTAGGCATTATCCCAATTGAAAAAAAAGACATTGTTGCAATTACGAATATCCACTGTACTACATTAGCCACCAATGTCTCCGATTAGTAAACAATGTTCATAATTTCTACAATAATGTCTTATGTCCAAAATTTTTACAACATTTCATATTAGCGAACAATATCCATACTTTTTACAATGTCCTTAAAAAATATAAGCAGACGAATCAAGGAAGGAGGGAATTGATCAATGGAAGAAAAACGAGTATAAAATAATTAAGATACAAGAGTGTTTTAGTAAATAGATATTAATAATAATTAATTAATTTTATAGAAATCACCCTAGATATGACTAAAACATAGAGAAAATACCAAAATAGGACTTTTATGTTTTTATTCTCGAAATAGGACTTTGCACAGTGATAATGTGGCACTATACATGTGCGCATTACTATAGTTTTTGGTAATGTACATGACCATGTTGGGTAATGTAAATGCACTTTAACTCCTATTTCGGGAATAAAAATATGGAAGTCCTATTTTGGTATATTTTCAAAGTTTTATTCCTACTTTTATCTTTTTCCCTTAATTTTATGTTAGTTTTGGAAAAAAACTTATTCGGTGCCTTTTAGAGAAAAATGGTAAGTTTTGGTGTTATCTGTAGCAAATTTCACATGTCTTTAATCCGGTAACTAGTATTGCACTCGTACGTTGCACCGGTCATATTTACGTTACTAAATTAAGACCGTTTTTGAATGATAGAAAATGATATCTAATACTCCCTCCGTCCCATAAAACCTTTCCTGCTTGAAAAAAGGTGCGCTTTAAAAATGAGTTATTTTAGTGTTATTTTCTAATTATTACTCATCTATCTTACACATCTTATCCTTCTCTATTATAAAGTAAGAGCAAAATCAGAAAATAATACCAAAATTACTCATTTTAAGGGTGCGTTTTTTCAAAAAGAAAGAGCTTTATGGGACGGAGGGAGTAGAATATAGTCATTTTATTATTTTAAGGTACAAAAATTTATTGCTTACAAATTTCAAAAGACTTCTTTATAAACTATATTATTCGTATAATTTGTAAGAACACTCTCTTCGTTGCATATCAAAATCTTCAAGTCACTATGATTTGTTACTCTTGAAACTGCAATAACTGATCTTTAATATTATTATTACGTTTGTTATTACGATTATTATTTTTATACGGTACCATATTATATTATTATTATTATGATTAATATTTTTATACGGTACCATATTATTATTATTCTTTCACATACTACCCTTTTTATTATACACGGTACCAAAATTTATAAGGTATGAAATTTAATTATTAATAATTAATAATTAATAATTAATAATTGAAATTTCACATGTTATCTTTTTTTATTACACGGTACCAAAAAATATAATGTATAAATTACCTTATTAATAATTAATAATTAATTTTATAATTTATAATTTTGGTAAAAAAAATATAAGGTATGAGAATACCTTTTTTTAAACCAAGTCAACACTTTCATTTATTTTATAATGGTAAGAGCACAAAACTAACTTACCTTTATTATTATTATGTTTATTTTTATGATTATTATTAGTATACGGTACCATATTATTACCATATTACTCCCTCCGTCCGACAAAATCTTTCTCCTTTCTTTTTTGATCCATCCCAAAAAACTTTTCTCATTTATATCAAAAAGTCACTTTTATCCCTACTAATTCTTAACTTAACTATCACACCAAATTTTTTCACTATTAATCTACCTATCACATCTACTTTTACCCATCACATTTTAGGGTATTTTTCGAAAGTCAACACCAAAATACACTCCATTTAAATCTTTTAAAAGTCAAAATTAGAAAGGTTTTGTAGAACGGAGGAGTATTATTATTATTCTTTCACATATTACCTTTTTATAACACGGTACCAAATTATAAGGTATGAAATAAATTACCTTATTAATAATTAATTTTATAATTTATAATTTTGGTAAAAAAATAAGGTATGAGTGTATTTTTTTCTTTAAAACAAAGTCAACACTTTCATTTATTTTATACACGGTAATGTGTATTTCTTATTTAACTAGTATTCTGACCCGTGCCATGCACGGGGTCGAAAGAAATTTATGTCGATTCTGAATTATTTAAATGAATTTTTTTTCGGAATAAAGAAAAATATATTGCTCACATGATTTTTAATACTACAAATGAAAAAGGCCAAAGTAAAATAAATAATATTTTAGGAATAGAATTTAGAGTTAACAATGTTTATTTTAATACCAAATTTTCTGAAAGACTTCAGGGTATACAACATTTTTGGTATGGTTGCAAGGGTTTCCATTGTCATCTAGAACTAATATTTTTAATCTTGTCTTCGTCTTCACTCGTGAAACAGCAACATATAGTTGACCATGTGTGAACACTGACTTGGTTAAAACTAATCCCACAAATGACAATGTTTGACCTTGACTTTTGTTGATAGTCATAGCAAAACATAAGGCG